CAATAAGTTGAATCGAACAAACACAAGACTGGCTTTATGACTGATATTTCACTGCCAGTCAGTCTTATATAGATAAACCACCAGTTACACTACTTTTTTCTCGAAGGTGCAAATCAGAAGTTGTTTCGGTGCTATGATCGTTCCCACGCTTCACCTGTGTGAAATGGAATAGCAAGAATGTGCGTCAGCGAATCGTGGCTCGTTGATAAGGCGGGATACTTGCCCAAATATTAAAATGCCGCAGTCACATTACTGACACGTTATAAGCAAACGCTGATCTGGCAAATTCTCTCAAAGCACATTCAAAGCATTTGTCGTTACTGACGACGGATGAACATGTGGGGAGCAAATAACTGAACAGCATGAATAACTAAACGTATCGTATATATCTCCCAACTGCACCTCTCCGTTTGGTTTTAGTCACTTTTATAGCTAAAGACCTCAAGCTTGGCTTTCATGAACTTAAGAGTTCAAAAAGTATTCTAATTTCATCATTTGCAGCAATTAATTTGCCTCTTATCCAGTAACAAACTTTTGATATTATAGAAATACGCGTAGGAAGCCTTTTTGAATTATATATTAGATGCTGTGTGTATTATTTTTGATGTATTTGAATTTTATAAAATTTTTTATTTTTAAGAAGTTTCTTGTTTGGCAACTACGGCGTTACCAAGAGATCCGCCGCTACCCGCGTTAGCCCTCAGTTTGGCATCAGAAGCAAGGAAGAGGTTTCGCTGTCGATGCCAAAGATTTTGTCAATGGACAATTTGCAGAATACTTCCAAACGGAACGGGTATTGAACGGTTGCGTTTCGGTGTGTGACAGTGCCTTAAACTACCGTTTAGGATTTCTAGGAACGAACTGCCCGAGGTCGATCGGTTCGCCTCTCACCAGTCCGCGTCGGCCGATAGCCATGAACATCACTCTGCAAGTACCAATGCTCCGAAATGGTATGTTACTCAGTTTTGTAGTCCGATGCTGACTGCATTGCTGGAAAATAACCGTAAATCTATCCACAGCACAAAGGAAGAAGGGCCGTTTCTTCGAACCTAATATTATGCTGCTGGGAGATCTGCTATTTGTTGTAATTGCTGCTGCTGCCAGTGAAGTCTCATTATATTTCTAGCAGCAACACAGGTACTTTAAAGGTACTAGTGGTACTTCTCCTAATGGTTCTTACTTCTACTTCATATCACTGAGTTTATTGAATATTTAGTTGTAGTGGTCTCAGTTTGCATTCTTGCTAAAAGTACTCTACCTGCTCTTAGTAGTAGGTATTAGTACTAATAAGAAGAATGCGAACTGGGACTTCTGCAACTGCTAATGTTTATTCACTACCAACTACCATACTACTCACTTCAAACTAGTATAATTAAATACGATTTGGAGAAGTATTGGTAGTACATGTCAGCATTGTTGTTTCGAGTACTTATAGCATTAATCGTAATCGGTCTTACTACTGTTCGTGCTGCTACTGAGTGGGAGGTACTACTACTTCTAGAATGCTAAATGGGACCACTGCAGCTACTAATAGTTACTACTCACTACTAGCAAGCGTGAATGCGAACTGTTAAATATAGAAACATCTGCATCTACATAACATGTAAATTGAAGAGTTGTTTTTCAGGCTTCTTATATCAACAGACTTTTTTCATTGTCCTCAAGCGCCGGTCGGTTGTAGGTTAAAGGAGGATACCTTTATCAAATACTCGTGTCTCGGAGACTGGACGGTTGATGTTGTTTTACATTTTTCCTTGTCATCATGCGCCACACCCGTCTGATTTCATTTCCTTTGGAAGAACCTGCTGGCAACTTGCGCACCGTTGGGCAGATGTTCTAATAGTGTGCAACAAAAGGTGGCTCTGCCTCCGGTACTCTTTGAATTTACCTTGTTTCGACTTATCCCATCGATATAAGAGTACACTTTAACTAGAATTTTTGCCTCAACCGAGAACTGTTTTCTGTATTCACTGACTGTTTTTTAATTTTAGAGATACGAACGTTGTTGAAACAGGTTGTCGTGGTCGTCATCTCGTTTAGAGCGATTTCGACGTTTTCGTGTTCCTCGTGATCTCGTCAATATTTCTCTTAGGAAGACATGCTTGTTGAAGTTTACGGGATGTAAATTCTGCATATGTAACCTATGATGGATGTGCGCTTTTGAAGAAACGCAGCAGTGGAAAGAATATGCCACTAGGAGCGCCTGCGCCGCCCCTGTTCATCAGTCCGTCCCTCGCGGTCACTTTTGGCCGCTCTCCCGCTTGCGTTTGACCCCTAAAATCGCGCAACACGT